AAATTTATTTTAGCTCTCTCTCAATATCTAATATTGTACATGACTTTATATTTGTATGTGATAATAATTCATCATAATTAGTAGTAGAAAGAAAGTGTATTTTATTATTTAAAGAAATGTATTCTAGTCTTTTCATATTTCGTCTATCAATGTTTTTATGTTTCTATATTTATATATCATTATAACTACGAAGAAATATATAAAATATGACAAATTATTTAAAGATAATATATAGAGATTTTAAGAAAAAAATTTATTACCTAAATAAGTAAGTTTGATAGATTATATATATATATATTAATATTTTAGTACAAAAGCAAAATGCATGAAGTTCATATTCTGTTGCGCTGTAAAAGCTTTTCACGCTTATTATGAAAAACGAACTCATATATGTATATTTCAGAATATACGCATATGACGTACGTAAAGTTAAATGCATTATGTTACAGCACGAACTCGATATAATTAACGGTAGCAAAGTAAAGACACTCCATTAAAAATGAAATAATATAAATCCACCGTACAAATTTAAATTTTAACGTGTATGGCCTTTAATAGAAACAATATTGTAGTCGAAAGAAATTATTTTGAGAGTGTGAGCAATTATTCTAAAAAAAAAAATTATAGCTTACAAAATGTAGTGTAGGTTACAAAATTTGCCATTCTATGATATTAAACAATTGATTAGTTTTCGATAGTCTTCTAACTATAATGTTAAAGAAACTCGAGGTAGTAAGTGTGCACCGGAAAACATAGAGACTATTAATAATCAGATCTAAAATATAACAAATTTAATACCATCAATTATTACAATTATGTAAGTCCTTGATTTATTACGGCATTAATTTCTTGCATAAGCAGTGAACTATTTCCTCTAATTTAGCAGAATAATTTATTGAATAAAGGTGAAAGAGAAAGAGAGAGAGAATACTAGAGTTTTAACTAATTTAGATAACCTTCTTGATGTTATTCAAATTTTATAAAGGATCACTTATTTTGTGACCGATTGATTTAATCTTCTTTACGTACATGTGCAAAATGTTCGAGAATATCGAGTATAAATTTATTTAACTGATTGATTTTACTTTTGAATAAGTATTTGTTATAATCTTTTAATTTAAACTTATCGTTATGATTTAATATCAATATGTGAATTAATGAAACATAATTTGATTCTTATTAAATTCTTATGCACATCAAGAATCAATGTTAGAAGACGAATAAATGTAATAAAATCATGAAATTTTCGATTCCTAATCTATATTAAAAGAATTTAGAATTACCATATCAAGCATTCTTCTTGTCTTCTTGTTAAAAATACTATGCGCAAAAACAATTCAATTAAATTTGTGACCAATCCTGTGAGTATAATGAAATATTGTTCTCTGGAAATAAAAGGTGTATAGAGAAACTCGTTAACGAATTGTTTAACGAACCACACGCGTCGCGTTTTGTCAAATATTGATCACACATCTCTCGTTAGTTAACTTTGTAACAGACTTCTGCTTCTGTGTCTTATGAAGTATTAATCTATTGATACCACAGTCTATTTTAAAAAATGCAAGTTTTATATAGTAAGAAAGTTATGTAGAAATGCGGAGGAGTCATAACTTTATTTCATTATGAATATTTCTCTCTATCTTACTGAATGGAATGTTAATGTAATTTTCTTGACTAGCGGAAAATTGCGAAGATGATTTAAAATTACACAATGCCTACTCGTACGATCATAAAAATTTACTATCTCGTCAGAAGCCCAAGAGCCCGCGAAATGAATTTCACTGAAAAGAATTATTTGATATTCACATATTTGAAAAAGAAATATGTCTACATAGGCTACAACGCGCGCATATTAGAAAAATTGCGAGATTATGTTTTGCGATGTTACTAGCGATTTTACCGGCGAAAAAAAGAGTATTGCGACAATTTTCGCTCAATAATAGTCGCATATATTGAAGAATTCATTTGTATTCAATATTTCTCCCATTCGGTTCCAAATATATACGCATAGAATAGACGAACAAATTCCGTGATTTTGCCTAGATTTTGAAATTTTAAGCACAAAATTTTAAAACTTACAAAGTAGGAATTTAGATTATAAATTGTGACAGTAAAATCTGACTTTTTTGCAACGATTATAAGAAATAAAGATTTAAAATGTTTTATACTTCAACAGACTAAATGGCAGTTTAATTTATGATAGATTACGATGAACGTTTTTAAAATTACACAGCTAATGAAAACTGATAGTTTGATGTCTTTTAACAAGACATTGCAGAATATACATCATTCTTTGTAGAATATTTTGATCATTCTTTTTCTCTAGTTCTGGCAAATCTCGTAATCTTATATAATTGTTGAAAATACATTTCAAACTTGCGATTTCAAAAAAAGAACAAATTAAATTCTTAGAATAATTTATTGGAAAAACATAATTGCGATTTTCCACTTGACATTTGAACTTTGAACATTAATCGCTTTTACCATTTTTAGTAGCAAACTGATGATATGAAATGTCTCAGGTAATATAACAACTCGACTTATTGTTAGTCAGAACCTAGAGATACACGGTTAAAAAGATTATGTTCTTATTTCGTCTGTCTATATCCGTGTTATAAAGATTTCAATTTAGCGTGAGATAAGCTGCAGATAAAATCTCAGAAATAGTTGGTAAAACTATATATGTAAGCAATAAAAAGCGAGAAGATTTAAGAAACAATTGTCTTCTAAAAGAAACTAATTTTTTCTTTACAAGTAAGATATAAAAAAACGTCAGATCTGGATTTATAACAAACACATTGCGGTCAAATAAATAGATATAATTTCCGATCGAATATAATTAGGATGGAAATCCTAGGAAAATTATTACATCAGTAATAATAATTTAATATAAATCTAGAATTATATTTGCTTTATCGATATCTTAGCTTTCCTGAAATGTACATTTAATATTTAAATATGATTTTTCTCAAACACAAATTGAATTTTAGCATGAATTTAACCCAAAAAACCATTGCTAATTGATTCTTCAGACAGGTTAGAGAGACTCCTTAATCAAATTCCCATTTGCTACCATTTGTCAATGACATAATCTGATCGATCGCTACAAAAAAACGGACGAGGACGATTTCAAATTAACATAAAATGAAAGTATTATCAAGTACAGATATGATTCAATATTTGAATCTAGCTGCTCGAATCTAGCTACAATTTTAATGAAAAGAATCTATAAGCTTTAATTAAATTAATAATTTTGTAGATCATAAACCGTATGTGTCATATCAATGTCTGATAATGTTAAATCGTCTTTTAGAAGCAAATTTATTTGCACAATCGAATTTCTAACTAATTATGCAATTTAAAGATATGTTAGCAATATTATATATCTACAAGTTTCCTCACATCTTTCTGATAGGTAAATGAATAATTTTCAGCTATGAATATCAAAATATGTGGTGAATATAGGGAAAGCTTATTCTACAGAAAAGCGCTATTTCCATGCACGTAAAATGCACGTAGTACTTTCCATCATTAGCAATTCTTTGAATCACTTTTGCCGTATGATTATCCTTAAAAACGGTATTTGCGCGTAAGCACCCCTAATGCCACACCGGGAGCATATGTGCATGCAAATGTCTCGCGTATATATACGCGCGATCGGTGCATTTGTATGCACATGCTTACATGTACACCGACAGCTAGCGTAATAGAACACTACGACCCGAGTGCATTCAGTCGGTGTTACCGGGGGATCTGATTTATAGTGTCCTAAGAACATGGCGCCTATTCGATAAGTGGAAGTCACTTTACTCTCGTAGGAATTGTAGAAAGTTACGGGACTCCTCACGCCAGAAAATCGATGTGACGATGGCTCAGAATTTCAGGGCATACGGTTTACTTCCATTGCGCAAAAGAAGACAACGCTTTATCAGATCGAACGTGCTCCAGATCGGAGAAGAATTGGATGTGATAACACTTCTAAACACCGCGATTAAATCGCTCGCCGCAAGAAAGTTATATCGGAGAACAGAAAAAGTTTCTCGAATCGATAGAATTGTCTTTAACTTAATATATTATATCAAAACGTAATTGTAAACGTATGTGTATAAAATGTATATATATTACAACTTGTTAATATATTTTAATAAAAAAAGAAAACAGAAAAATCTGGGAATTGTCTATAACTCGTCGAATAACGTGTACGATAACATCGAAGTGATATCGACATGACAGGTATAAGATATATCTAATGGGATCTGTGTCTATTTTTTTAGCCAAAAAATATACAGAACAAATATAAATCGTCGAGGGTAAAATTTGCTTACGCTGAAACCTATAGAGCAATATATCGGATCTGTTCATCGATTTGCGTGAAGCGAAACGCTCGAAAATGTCGATACGCTCGAAATAACGTACGTCTGCAATCCCACTCTGTTCAGTATACCGTTATTTATAGCGTACAAACGCAAAACAACAGATTAACTTTTAAACGTTGACGTTCGTGATACCTCGTAAAACGATCGATTCGCATATAACTTTAAACGAAACCAACACTTTATTACCAAGATATCGCGGATGCAATTTTTTTTGCGAAGCATTCTCGTTATTGCCTCGAACATCAAAGCAAAATGAATAGTTTCCCGCGAAGCACTATCTTTGTACATAATAGTAAGTATACGACGTACATTCTTGTTAAGAAATTCCGTAATAAACGTCATTCCTTCAAAGAGCTTATATAAAGAATGCATTTATTCGAACAGGAAATAAGAGACGTAAAGGAACGCGCTATCTTGTCCTGCGGATATATATTAAAGGGGATGACGAAGAAAAATAATATCATATAATCTTATACGCTAACTTAATAAATATATATATATCGTAACGCAGATAAGAGCTACGGTAAAATTTCAAATTTATGCGATGCGTTCGAGGAAGTTAGTGGAAATAACAATTGTGAAGTGAAACAATCTTCTACACGATTTTTGTATTATATATTTCAGTGCAACCAGCGTTTGTACGTGTCATCGATGAAAATTCGAAGAATACTTTGAGCACAGGCGCCACTTTAGGACCTATAAATGAGGGTTCGACAATATCACTGTACTGCGAGAGCGGAGAAGGCAAACCTGTACCTACGGTTGAGTGGTTTAAGGATGGGGTGGAAGAGCCACTCGAAGGTAAGATACAATATGCTTATACACGATACGTTGAAACCGATAGGATAATATCTCAGATAAGTTCCTACGCACTTTTGAAAAAATTTGGAAGAAGAGACGCAAGATAGTTCTTTTTATTAATAATATTTCCTCTATATATATCTTTCTATTAAATAATTTAGCTATATGACAATATTTAATTCTGCTTGTATTAATAATTGATCACTTAATAAATATGTTTTGTAGTAATGAATTCACGATTCCGATCTGATATTTCAATATAGCTATATTCTAGTTATGTGAAATGAATAATTAAACAAAACGTAATTTTATCTACATAATAAAAATTTAGTGAAATTTTATCTTATACATTTATCTTATAATAACGCAGTAATCAAATCAATAAACGCTATAAATATATAATTTTATTTCCGCGCTTTATTGGAATTGCATGCGAATTAAAATGTATAAAAGAAAGCATTACCAGGGTGAATCATTATTCAAGCGCGGATATTGAAAGACAAAAAAGCCTTTGCTTTCATTAATCAATTATCTGATGGTACTATCAAAAATTTCTTTTATTTTATTACATTATTAATTTTATGCGTACTTTTGAAGAGATATTAAGAGATATTACGTGTACTTTTAAAGAGATATTAAGCGTTATTGCAATTCCTTACTCCACATATGTGCTTTATTATAAATGGGTGTTTCTTGTTTAAATATTACGTACCAAGAATAATCAAGAAATGTTCTATTACAGTAACGAGCTCGTCAACTATCACTGATACCGGAATTGGTACTGGCAGTAGTTTACTGGAAATGCAAATTACACGAGAAGAGTTAGGCGCCACATTCACGTGTAAAGTCAACAGTATCGCACTCGTGGAGCCGCTCACGGTTGATATTAAACCAGACATACACGGTGAGTACACGCACGTTCAAGAACAATAGTAGGATATTTGCAATCTGTCATCAAAAAAATATATCTATGCGAATTATACGTGAGATAATTGAAGTATCTTTAATATCGTAAAAAGCTTTTACTCGCTGATTTTTATTAACTTACAGAAAAAAACCTCTTTACGTGCTTCACTTTTAATTGCATTGGAAAACTATCAGCTGAGCTAACAATCTGACAATTTTTTTTCAACACTATAGTACGTCATTACGATGATAACAAAGCTCTCAGTATGATAGGCCCTCAATGCTGAAGTTTTCCAATGTACGTCAATTAAAAAGCATACATTGATCATCACGTGTGGCATTGGCTATACGCGAATCGATTATCGCGTATTTCATTCGATGGGGAAAATGTGCCTTATATGCCAGGATCGCTTACAATTTCGATCGCGTGATATAATTTGCACACGATGTAGTATGCAATTCGATAACCGGTCCGTACAAACTCAATGCGAGCATAGTAACAGAACGAATGTGGATACTTTGACCTAAATTTGCAACAATTCCGCTGGGTATCGTTTATTCGTTAAATCAAAACATGGGTAACATCGGGTAAACTCGCCGTTGGGGTATGAATATGAATGACACCACGACCAGGGCAGTATATCAACGCAGCTAAACGAGAAGAATTTTTGCACAGAGTGTATCAACTGCAGAATATGAACTAGCTTAACTTTCAATGTCAATTAGCATTTCCCAATAAGGTCGAAGGCAAGTTACGTAATAACTCAAAGATTAAAAAGTTTGAGCGAGTCGTGGTTCGAAAACGTTAACGGAGAACAAAATTTTCTTTCTCAATCTTAAAAGAATTTTGTTTTGGCTAAAACAGTACACTGAAAAAAAATTTTTTTAATATTTAAAAAGCCTTATTTGAATACTCCTAACAACATATTTACTTAATATAATCACATATTTATTTAGAATTAGATATTTTTACTTAATTTAAGTAAATATAACTAATTCTAAATAAATATGTGATTATATAAAGTAAATATGTTGTTAGGAGTATTCAAATACGGCTTTTTAAATATTAACAATTTTTTTTTTCAGTGTAATATATATAAAGTTTGTCTACTTATTAGACATTTACTATTAAAAAATAAGCAGTTAACATTATTAATTGCTTATAAAATAAACATATCTCTGAACGTTTTATCGTTTCGCATTCGATATCATGTTGGAAAAGTTATATAATTTCTTTTGATTATTTAAGAAAATGTCTGGCCGTTGCAATATGTATAATTTCAAGTCTAAATAGTCTAAAAATACAGCAGTAGTAAATCCAGCATTTGCAATAAAACTGGGCGTTACTTAATCATTACGTAAATTAAATATTTAGTAATTGTTCTAATCCTTTTTACATATTCAACACGTACACGTACAGTACGCAGAATGCAGTTTGTTGACGATCAATGCTTCGTATTTTCTCCACCTTCGATAATCGTGTGTTACATTTGTAATATACTGATTCAGCAATGTGTTATATCCGCACTAAGCTAACTCAATGTGCGTATTATGCTTACGTACTATATTATGCAGTATAAAACAAGCGAATTATATTGTGTCCGGGGGCGTGCATGTACTGTTAAGTGTTCTCAGAACGTGGAATTTAGATATGTCAACCGGCCATTCCATTCGGCGCAATGCATTAACGTAGTTAAAGAGAAGGCTCTGTCCTAACGTTACTCACCCTAAGTATTCAACACGAGATATCGGGCTGAAATCATTCCACAATTCCGCAGGCATTCGCTGGCATTCATCTCAGAGCGGGTTTAGCCGTAAGAAACAGCTGAGAAAGAAAAAAACCGACCCCATGCCGCGTGCCTCCATATTTTACCGCACAATAATGCAATTCGAACGATCTATGGACGCACAGTTCGGGAATTCGCTTTGAGAAACGGCTCCGCGCTTAAAATCCCTAAAATTCGCGCGACGAGAGTATGTGAGAGTGCAGAGACATCGTGCGCTTTGAAAAGTCCTCCTGTAAAACGAGAGTACACGAAATTCGATTTCGTACGTGGAAGAGTGGTTTGCATCTCGAATTTGGATTTCTGCACGGACACAACCGCGTGTGCAGTCATAAACCATTCCGCTGTCGAATTTTTAAAATGGAAAAAACTGGCGGATCATATTTTTAAACTTTGCTACAGAATTTGATATGGGATATAACTGGTACCTTTCGTATCAGATAAAGCAAAGCAGCGCGTAACTTAAATATAAAATTTAAAGTAAAATTAAAGTAAAATTAAGGTAATCCTACTCCATACTTGTTATAACGATAAGAAAGATTCTTAATGCATTTTTCATTTTATCGGATGAATCGGATTAAAATAATGCGAAAGTGGCGAAAAATCGATTAAACGCGATTTCTCAGGCTTTCAGCGGAAAGATAGTTTAATGAAGTGTATAAAATACTTGCATTTTTCTTAACGTCCAAAAATAAAATTTTTTATTGAGATACTTTGTAAAGCGTCAAACTAACTGATATGTATAAATGAAATAAAATATACACTGCGTGCGTTGTTAATTATTCAACGAGAAAACGCACTTAATATAATTGCACTTGATATAATATAAATTATACTGTGTGTTACATCAAATCACCACAATACAGAGCTGTTGCTCCAGAATTCAGATCAGTATAACAGAGAAACCTTAATGGAATTCTCTCATTAACCGTATGCTACTCCATGCCAATACGTGATTTTAGTAGAAAATTATTCTGTTTCATCAGGTATACGGTTTTCATATAAATTTAAATTTCAAACGATTTTAATAAACTGCCCATTACCCACTTGCGTTTAAAATTGCTGCAAATTACTCAATATTATTAAACAATAATGTAGGTGTCTATAGAACAGAATACAGTGATACTTCTGTTATTTAAGCAAAAATATACCGTCTAGATAAGCAAAACGTAATTTTCTTCATTTTTTTTAATAGCACGATCATAATACTAAGCTAAAATGTAATATTCAAAAATTTTTTTATTCGTTCACGTATGCGTGCATCGCCCCTCCATGAATTCGCCGATTAAAGTACACGCCCGTCATTACGGCGGTACTTGTAATTACAGCGCGCCGTATCCGTTATTTGAACATTATTTAAGCGTGTATAGCGCGCACGAATTTTGCATGTTGTAAGTAATTAAATGTCCATCACTTCGTGAGAGAAGGGATTTCCGTGCATCCGCGTGCGTGTAAAATCACTGATAAATTCATATAAAATTAATGTGTTATTATAGACCATTCTTGTGTTGCGATTAGAAATTTATTAACATTAACCGAATTTATTAACATTAACCGAATTTCACACACCGCTTGTAATATCATTGCAGAAATAGACATGCGAATACGCGTAATTCTCGATAAACGCGTTGTTAAATACGAAATCGAGATTAATTTCCTTGCTCTCGCGCGTGGAAGTGCGTCGCGGTGAATAAGTAAAATTATTGCGGGTTGATCTCTCATTATTAAATTATTTATTTATTCGCATTTAAACAGTTATTACGATAAATATGACGCTGTGATATTGCCGGAGACGAAATTAATATCTTACTAAATATGCAGCTTCACTTTATGCATATTGTGCGTGTTAGAATTGTCGACATGCTGTTTATAAACCAATCTCTCGCAATAATTATTATCGTCTCTCAACAATTATGACCAGATTTAGGTAACGTAACTGCTATAATGAGGACGAACCGAGGCTCTTCCGATAAATGAAGTGCGGCGCGCTATAATTACATCAACTAATTGTTAAGCAACAATTTTTATTCACATTAAATAATAAGATTTGCATAATGGGTTCTTTGGTGAGAGAAGAACGCACTAGCGCGGTAGGACGAAAAGTTATTACGCGCTAAAAAAAAAACAATAAGCCGGGACCGCGTGTTGCGTGTTTTTTCTGATAACCGATAAAAATGCAATTAAAGAGATAAAAATGTAGTTAAAGAGGCTAATAATATATTATTTAGATAGAGATTGCGGAAAATGCATTGATATATTAGAATCCGTTTTATCGTGAAAAGCCTCGGTTTTGTCGATATTAAGCCCTGAATTATAGGGCAACTAATCACATGCTGCATATGATTATCTAATAAGAATAAATTTTATTCTACTAACATTTTTTATTTCATTAAACTTTAAAAAACTTGGAGAGACAAATATTTACGAATAGTACAATTCTAACTATGTGCATGTATTTTCTTTTGCAATTTGTATTATTAGCGACTCTTCTTCATTATACATATAAAATTATAGAGTACTATTAAAGTACTTTTCAATGCTTTTGCGTCGGCACTGTTCATTTCGATCCCGTATCGTGAAAAATTGTCTCTCAGCGCGATAAAAGAAATTATTGAATAATTCTGAAGGAAGAAGAAAATAACAACTATCAAACGCGAGCTTCAAACGCGAAGCGCAGGTTGAAATTCTTCAGCGTGGTCAGTTTGGTACAGAAAATATAAATAAATTCTGTGAGTGAATCGTTTCTAACGATCTGCGGTGAATTTAAAGAGGAAATGTCGCGAATACCCGCGGGATATATCTGCGAAAATCTCACGGCCCCCGCAGCTGCTCGTTGAAAGTCGTGGAAGCAAGGTTGCGGGCGAGTGACAAGAACTCGTGAGCAGGCACCTGACGAAGTTTTCAGGCGGAGCGCTTCTTATAGGCAAACAAAACCAGGAAATCGCATTGCCATTGGCTACAGACTTAAAAAGTCTCGTAGCCAGCTTATCGGGTTGCGAACTCTCAGAAATTTTCGGACGAACAGGAAATTGGCTGAACGGGTGAATTTCCACGAGAATGAAAGAGGGAATCCTATCCCCCCGTGTCATGTTAGACGTATCTTGAAACTGACTGCGATTAGAGGAACATTCCTGAAGATTTTGAAGCTCTGAGAGAAGACTTGCAGTTAAAATTACTTTTCGCAAAAATGCGAAATGTATTTTCCTTATTGCTTTGTGCTTTTATATAAAATTGATATTTAAATTAAGAGACTCTGGCATACTATGTATACCTGACGGATGCAATTTTTAAGCGAAAATTAATTGTTAAAGATTGTTAAAAGCTTTCAAAACCCCAGGAAATTTTTATACCTTAAAATTTAATCTTCCGTTTAGCGATTTATTGTGTATTATTTCTCATTGTGCAAATACGCAAGACATTTAGCAACTTAAATTAACTAATTCGAGATTAAGAATTCAATAAGACAATTTTATTTTAATAAGACTCTGAAAGCATAATTTCCTTGTAAACTTTCGTTGAAACATTATATCTTCACGCTGAACAAGGTATTCGCGTTAGTTACTTTAGTCACTTGAAAGCACAGGTGTGATAAAACACGTCCTATAATGCAATCCACTACTATCCATATGAATTCAAAGTAAATGCTGGAGCGCCGATTTGTTCCAGGATCAAAAGCGTCAGCACATTTTCCAACGACGGAAAAACTATTTACGCAAAGAAAGTGATTTTTTAACCTTTTTTGCCGCTTCTGTCACCATTCTTCCCTCTCTCTTTCTCTCTCTTTCTCTCTCGATCTTCGTTCATTTCTCTACATCCGCTATGCCGCGTCAGGCAGGGGGAGTGCAATTGAAGGCAAATGCAATTCCCGATATTAGATTCGCCATTCGTTCTCTATTCGGATCCTGCGCCTTTTCTTCTCGTATTCCTCTTGTATTGAATACCGTTCACCGAGAGTTTGGCCGGTGAATTATCGGTCGGTGTTTTCTGCATGACTTTGCGGGAACCATCAACGACCAAACTCACTAATACCAAGCCACGTACAATAATCGCGCAAATTCATAATCGCCAGTTTCGCGGAAAGAAAAACTATGGCACGTTGAAGTTTTAAAAAATGTAATTAAAATCTCTTTTTATTAAATACAATCAACAGTTGCGATAACATATATCTAATTCTTCCAATAAAAATTTTACGAACTCGGATACTTACGAGAAAATTCACAAAATACTCATTAAAAACAGTATAACAGTTTAATTTATGCATATATATGCATATAATTAATTTGGCAGTACTTACAAGTTCTACTTAAATTTAAAGTAGTTTGCTACAAGGTATTTTGCGAAAGTTCTGGTAAATTTAATGCGCGCACAAAAATCCAAGTATGCGTAATAGCCTGAGGGAAACTCGTGGTGGGTTTCACGGTGCGCACCGTGATGTACGTGACGGCCCGTTTGCGAAATCTATCGGCGCTAATGGATATACCTACATGTACAGCGGGCGGATATGCATCGTCACCGATTAACACGGTTCTATATAAGCCATTTTTATCGTAAGCCGTGTGTCCCTGTAGGAGCCTTCCGGATCGATTTAACGATATTGAAATGACAGTTTTCGAATATTCCATTAACCATGGAGTTCCGGAGTAAGCGCGGTTATACCGGAGCAAGCATCGAAAAGTTGTCCATCACGCTTGTCCATCGACATCCCTGTCGCTGGAACGATATACAAACATTTAGACCAAATGTTAAATAAACAACAACTAAACAGCTAAATAATTGCTTGGCTATATGTGTCAAGTCCACAACAATTATCCAGATAACATTTCTATTAACTAAATAAACAACAATATATATTATTAGATTGCTGTTCTTGTCATGGCACAAAATATTTATGCACAATCAGATAACATCCCAATATTTCTGTGAAACTTTTAAAGTTCTTAAAAATCTGGGTTACATATTTCTTACTTTGAAATTTATAAAATATAATTTAATAGTTTTTTTTTATCACTTCAGAAAAAGATTGTTCGCATAAAAATTGTGTATGTCGCTTTTTTCGTACCTTTATGTCAATTATATACGATTGCGAAGAACATAGTTCCAGCACACATCGAAAGACATTGGGGACGATGTGAAATTGTCGAAATTGACGTTTCACACGTCTCACACGTATATCCACAATCGCAATCATGTCGATCTACCCTCAATTACACGTGCCAACCCTAATGTCGCTTCAGTGCCACGCGAAGCCTAGATACCATGCGATCGTCATTACATGACGCCTATGCGGCCTATGACTGACCGTTAGCGGCTGTGTTTCATGTGGCCAATACAGAAACGACGGTACGTTTAACATTAGACCGACAAGTATGAAATCGCCAAATGCGACGCGTGAGCTTCGTGGCTTTATTGCGACACAAAGGACTCCCGTAAATCCAATAAAACCTTTAATGTTAAAAAATCACGAGTGTTTACGTCGTAAAAAGCTAGTTGCGGTTCGTTAACTGCGCTACTAGACGACGTGAGAACGTCACAAAAAGATAGTAGCAAACGGTGGTGGACATAAATGAACTTTGCCCGTTCACGTGTTAGTTTTCCTTACTAAGAACAAGTTCGTATATGTCCTAACTAGCTTATAATATGGAAATAATATAGTGATATGGAAATAATATCGTGATATGTCGTAAAAGCCGATAGTACACTGTTGAAAACAGAGGTCCTGTGTGTTAAAAAAAGTCCTTGTTAAAATTTTTGTGTAAAATAATCAACACATACGTGTGTAGATTTAACATATGCCTGCTATGTTACTTGAATTTTACAAATTTAAAATGTAAAATAATTAAAATAACTTAAAAAATATGTTAAAGTAACACAATTTGAACGTATTTATTAAATGTGTTAAAATTTACAGAAAAAGAATGTTGATTTTACTCCATAAAAGAAGTAGGAATAAAAATTTACAGAAATAGAGTGTTGATTTTATCTTACAATCTCAACTTCAACATAAAAGTTATGTTAATTGTACGTACACATAATTAACTTCAAATTACGATCAGAATTACATTTCCTTTCTGTTAAAATATTTTAACATAATATCAGTGTTACCATTTAACACATCCATATTATGTTAAATTAACACAAAAATTTGAGTGGATCGTTTTGGACATGTGATTTATGTTATATTTAACACAAATTTTCCAACAGTGTATATTAAATTTAAATGCATGATTGGTGTTTACACGATTAAAATTATCATGAATATTAAACAACAAATGTTAAATATGTAACAATGAAAGATCTTCAAATTATTTTATTTATATAGTACAAGTCAAATCGAGTATTCTGGTTTTGGTTTTAGAAAGATTCATTCCTTAATAAGTTATGTATTCTATATTGTACAATTAATAGAATAATGACCTACGTTAATTCATTTAAAATCTCGATATAATAATATTCTTCCCTTCAATATTACTGCTTGAGAACAAGATAAAAATATGAAATAGTCCAATGTTAGTCGGAATATAATTTCGACCTTTATCACAGAAAAATGCCAGAATTTTGTATGAAAAGGCATTAATTTTAATACCGTACCGAGGTTAGCTCGACTTAGCCGAGTAATATCTCGGTATTTTCTACTCATTATTCCCCCCAACACTTGACCATTCTCTTTACAGTACGTCCGCTGAAGATGGACTTGGACGGAGTGGTTGGTCACGTCGTGCAGGGAACGAAGATTTTATTGCAATGTACGGTACAAGCCGCACGACCCGCCGCCAATGTGACGTGGAAGAACGGAACGCACTACGTAACCGAGAGCAATGAGAGATTCGAAATGTTCGAGACAAAAATACAGGAAAATGTGAGTAGACGCAACGATATTGTAATTGTAAGTTGTAAAGCGACTTACGCTCCGATTCAGATAATTTCTCTATCGCCACTGAAAGAATCACGTTTCTACATCTATCATAGAATTATCTATTTATAATTTTTTCAAAGTAGGGCTACAATTAAATCAGAAAGTGTTATTTATCAATTAATTATAAAGTTACTTTGGCATTCTTACTTAAAATATAGCTATTAAAACTGTTAAAATCTGGCAAAATTGGCAATTTTTTTCTCTTTAATAGAAGAAGGACAGATTTTAATAAGAAAGATCTTCCTATACGCCAAACGCATTCATTACTAGGTAACCTGCATAGAATTTCTGATATACAATAGATTCTTAATAGGCTTGAATTTCGTTCACCAACCTCACCGCCATTTGCATCTAAATAAATGTACATGGGATAAGCATGTTTGGTTGTACGTGACAATGAATGAGAGAAGCGCTTCGCGAAAGTTTTGATTCAGTTACTTACTCGGCGAAAGCGTACGGACTCGCAAGTGCCACAGTAAACTTCACGAAACTACCCACCGGGAAATTCTAAATCGATCGCTACAGCATCTATCGTATATTTTAATTCCCATTTAACGTTTTTGCGGGGCAACAAATTTTCGAGTTCACTCACGGAAAAAGTGCTGCGAGTCGAAACGAATTTAGAATCCAGGAAGTTCGGACAGTTTATCGATCGATGTACTTCTCTCAAGGCTTCTCTTCGAATTATATTCAATTTTTATCAGGTATACGATTTGGATTTGTTTAAAAGCGGAATTTTGCGCGCAAAAAAACCGCATCACTTGCAATTTATTTTTCTGCATTGCTTCGTCAGGATGAGAATGATCGAACGCGCACACAATTTCTTTTTACTCTACTTTGTAAAAACTGCTGGCGCTCGTACAATGGCAAAACGCTCGCAAAATTCTAAAGAGAATTAAATTCCGATGTCTCTCTATTAAGTAGAATACATTTTAAATTAATTTTTAGTTGTGTAATAGTTATACCCAACAAAACAAAACAGTTTGGAAATAAAGGTGTCAAGGAATCGTCATTAACTTTCGAGTCACGTAGCCCCGTTTTATTCTTGACTTGTAAAAAATCAATTTCATGCTCGAACGAGTAGCTGCGCGGCAGTGGCGGCATCGAAAAATCATTAGACCCTTCTACATATCGTGTTGTTGCGCTATCACGTATACGTATATGCATGCAGAAGTCGTGGGTGTCACGCAGCTATCATAAATCCATTACGGAAGTATCTGAAGCTATATAAAGCCGCGTGCACGCAAAATGACTGTGTATATGAGACCGCCTCGCGCCTACGTGATGCAATTAGTGCAAAAAAAACGTCGTCACAGTTAAAAGTCGTAAAGTAGATAAAACGACGTTATGTCTCGATAACAGAGGGTTCTTTACGTGCGAAAAATGTTGTCTCGCGGAACAAAAACACTCACTCTATCAACTTTATTATTCCGCTCTCTATGCGTCGGCATATATACGAATTGACTAACAATATTAAAATATCATTAAATATTATTAAATCAAAAGTAAATCTGTTGAATACTAAATTAACACTGAAAATCGCTACTTCGGTGTACAATAATTTGCATATCAGCGACAACCTTTTGTTATCTTGCGCAAACTTAACATTTATTTCACTATAATATCTTCACAAATAAAAAAATGTATTTCTTTGAATAATTTTAATATGAAGATAAACGCTCGATGAAATAACAATATAACGCATGCACGACGAATTTAATTTATTTTACGGTGTTAATTAACGATGTTTGAAGGAGGAACCATTATTTCGTTATGTCTCGACGCGTTGGCAACGTTAACGAATCGTTGTGTTAATTAAATCGCCAGTTCGCATAATTGTGATTATGTATTCCTAACATTTGCAATTCCATATGATTGGGATGTCATAATTAGCATTGTTTACTAAGTAGCCTGATTATGGAACGAGCGACGATATAGCTAAATCCATTCAGGATATTGCACATGATAGCGAGCGGTATCTACGACGAGCAATTACATGCCACGAATTCCTGCCGATATGAGCGTCACGTCATGACAGAATTAAGAGGATCACATTTTTAAGCTCGAGTACACCCTTTTGCGCGAATGAGGATATTACAGGCTCAGCGGGAGATGGCTTTACAATAATTTCTCGTCGAGCATTATCTCATGCTGTTCTATATACTTTTATGGATTTTCCTAACAAATCGATAAACATAATTTTTGTTAAATTTTTAATTAATAAGTTGCTAAGAAGAAAGAAATTATCCGAAACAATATGAAAATGAAGAACAGGAGTATACAATAATTTATTCAAAATTTAATGCTACTGTGGTACATATCTTTGTTTAATTCTCATATAATTTCAATGATAATTTTTTTGTAACATTGCATAAAGTTTTACAAGAATAATCCGAACATCTTTTTTTTAATAGCATAACAATCCATTAATTGAATTTAAGTAAATAGTTTAAATTATATTTTTCATAAAATTTGTGATTACATTACGTGATTACATTACATGTTTTGTTGTTAATTGAAAACATTTTTAAATATTAATTAAATTAATATTAATTAAATCTTTATATATAAAACAAAGTCGGGTTAGTTACACCATTTATAACTCAAGAACGGCTGGACAGATTTTGAAAGTATTGTATATGAAGTAGGGGTAGAATTTCCCAGGGAGTGATTTAGGCTGTATAGTTTTTCGTTACCACGTAAAAAAAAAAATTAATCTAGAAAGATATCTAGGGAGAGGGAGGGGGGAGGGGGAGGGGGAGAGAGAGAGAGAGAGAGACTATTTGCGTGTCTTAATACACATGTTCTCCGGGGCGAAGCCCGGCGGGGCATGCTAGTTTATGTTTAAAATAATAATGTTAGTTCGCTGGCAGAAAACAACAATCTCAATTTTTAATTTTACATAGAAGATCGAAGGAATAAAAATTATTCTAAAAAAATGATTATATAAAAAATAATGCAAATCATTTTTTATTAATATAAATTTATTTCTTTTTACTGCAACATGGAGATATCAGGAAAATCATTTTAGGTTTATATAATCATCTCTATTGGCCAAATATAAATTTAGTTTTTGTGTAATCACTTATTGTTGTGTTACTTTAAATCAGCATACATGCTGTACGGATGAAACATACAATTACTCAAAAGAAAGCGATCAGTTTTATCGCGAATATCGCGAATAACAAGATATGCATTCTCGTTACATGTGTCGGCTTGTTAGTGCATTTTCATCAGTTGCACCGTGCAATTACAGAATTAAAGTTACGCGGAGCTTTAAACGCGCGCTTGCGGTATTATACGTTATTTTTATTCTTCGCAAATTGAAGATTGATAGAAATCCAGTATTTTTTTGATAAACCAGGAATATTCGACAGCGGTTAAAACGTATCATAGAAATATGATATAACGTGAATACTCTTAATATACGACGCGAGTTAATTAATATTGTAAAATCTATCAAACGCGCGGATAAAGTTTAATTGGATTGGTTCTACTTATAGTGCTTCATTTTTTAGCTTAGAGATTTTAATTTTTTAGGACCTCAAAGATAATTGCATGAGATAGAGATATATTATTAAAAATAAAAATTACGATCTAAATATTCTAAATTGTCATGCTTATTTTTAAATACTCCTTCAGCATTAAAATTAAGCATTTGACCAAATTTTTACCGCTTAATAAATTTAGCAGTAAATGTTCAAAGTTAGATATTTTTCTACTAATCGTTTAAAATCTTTCTGTTCGTAGGAGGACGGTACATTCGACACGATAAGTTATCTCGCGTTTACAGCTACGGTATACGATAATAGTAAAACATTTAAGTGCTACGCTGAGAATTCAGTTACTCGTACCGAAGATCTGAAGCCAATGAAGGAAGCAACAACAATCGAAGTATTATGTAAGTATTACAAGTCGAAATGAGTTAGTCATTATTGGCGCCAGCAATTCTTTTGCAGCAATATTTTGTAGCAGTATTTTGTAGTTTTATCAGTATGACAACTATATGATTTTAATCTTTTTATGATTATTTATTTTTTATTTACTTATCGCAAGTATTGTAAAACTCTAAGAAAAAGTATATATAATTATAATTACATACATATTACATATATATATATTTTTAAGTTTAATCACAAAGTGATTAGAAACAAAATTGTCATATGGAATCGAATGGAATTGGATTGGCTCACGGAAGACGAAATCCAATTTGCTCTAACAATAAGCAAATATCCAAGAATCTCACAAGTACATTGAATCAGATATAATAACTGATTTTATCTATTTCATAAGTAACAATAAAAGCGCATAAATTATAATCCGTAATTTTTAATAGTTACAATTACGATAGCGTTAAAATAGCGACTGTTGCAACAAGATTGCATTATTACCCGAAATTCACACATTTCCGTGCCGCAGCGAGCATATTCTACATCTACGGGAAACTGCGCGAGCTACAAGAGCGGTTATTAACATTTGCATACACTTAGCCCTTATGAACTAAATCCTTTAAATAAATAACTCTACACACACCCGTTCGCTATTCATCAGCATAATACTATGCAAATTGACGTTGGCAGCGCGAGCAATCAGTAGAATCTTAACTTGCTATTGAATTCGAAAACTCGTTTCTTGTTTTCGCAATAAAAACGTAAAATTTACATACAATCACGACAAGGATATGCTGGACCCGAGATTTTAAGACGTAACCCATCGTTTTACGTTTTAATTAAGAAATTGCGATAGAACTGGAGATTATTCTATTATCTCTTTGCAGAGACTTCCGGCCATCTATATTTTTATACTCAAAGTCGACAACTTTCCGAAAATAGATCGTAATTTTAGCGAAACTTTAGAGAAATAAAAATAAAGATATAATTAAAAATCTTTCAGACTTCAATCTACGCAGACTTCAATTACTTCGATACGCTACAGAAGCCAAGGCAAATGTGTTCAAAAAGAACGAAAGATTAAAGATTTTGAAATGATAGAAGTTAAGAAGTTTCATAATTCAAGAATATTTTTCGTTTGACCGTCTGATAAACATTTATCTTTTACCTTTTCGAGAGATTGGCTCGTACAAGTCGCGCAACGCTTATACGATTTTCCAGTTGCATGCTTCGGTAAATCAACATCAATACGCAATAGACGGATAACTTGTGCTGATATACCAGCGGATACTTTTACAATATTTTCTTGTGATGGAATAGCTTAATTTTCGAAAATGTAACGTAATTTTATTTCGGAACATTAAAAAAAATTTCTGAAATTTCTCTGATATTACGTATTTAAAATTTAAAAATATAAATATATTTACAATGTGATAATTCACAATATACTCACAAAGTCATAATCATATCAAAGATTGATGATTATTCGGAAAGAAATCACAATTTAAGGAATTAAAATAACTATTTTACATTAAATATAATTAATTAAAAAATTATTTCTTTCTATCACACATCCCACAATAACTCTATATACAGCTTATCTTTTTTAAAAATATTAGTTGTTACGGATTTATGACTCGTCCAACTCTAAAATCAGGAGTTACAACTTTTTTCTGCATTGAAAACGTGATGTCTTGATTACGCGAGCACGGAGCACGGGCAAAAAGAGACGGACGGTTGTGTATCTCCCTGATGTTTCCAGTTACAGTGCGAAATGGCGAAGAAACTTTCGTTTTGCAGCCAGAACGAGGACTACCCATGGATTGGAAACGAGAAACTCCAGACATCGAGTTTGGCACGTTTCCAACTCTCCGGCTTGCATCGTGACAGCAACTCTCGCGTCTACGTATTTACGCGAGAATTTTGTTTTATATATCCCCTCCGTTTTCTAGGACCCGCGTTAAGTGCATAATATCGTGACCCCGAGTGCATCTAAATTTTACATTCAATTTAAGTTTGGCATTATCCATCTTGGACAAAAAGCAGTCGTGAAGATAAAACGATCTTTACGGTTTTAGATATCGAGAGAAGAGGAGAAATTTTTACTTCATAAAAAAGTAAAGCCGTTAAAAGCGCTTGATTTTTTAAATAAGGCAAGATTTCAAGAAAGATTAAACTGATGTCATTTTGCAGTCGATATTCCTATACTATTCCTATAATATTATAGCGAGATGTTAGTTTAATCTCTCTGTGCCTAAAATATTCAATTGTCAATATTAACTCGACAAATATTCATAGAATTAATATGCGCCAATATATTATAAATTGTACTAAACTTATTAGCGTTCAAGAATAATACGAGTTATTTGTTTTTAATTAAATAGATTTAGCTATCATCACGTTTTCTTCTCCTTTATTGGAATTTTGACAAATGTTCTATCTTTGTGGCTAAATCTAGATTTTTATTGTTTGTATTTGTAATATTCATTGTTTTATGTTTATAGATCCACCGATAATTAAAATGAAGCCAAACAACATAACTGTTAACGAGACAGACGACTTTTTAATATTCTGCGACTACGAGGCAAATCCGGCTACGCTAATAAAGGTGACATGGTAAGTGTTGACCATTATTATATAAATATACATATATGTATACTAGCTTGAATTAATTCTTTAGAATAGCGATCATTTTCCTGTGGGAATTAAAGATCGGTTCTGTTAGATAAATTAACAGTAGAATTAAAGACATTTTTGTTCTATTGTCGCTGCTTTTACGTCTTAAAGAATATAAATTAGCGCTATTTCTTCGTTTTATTTGTCTCTCTTAATGGGGTGATGCAGGTTGCGAGACGACGACGAATTAGTGTTAAACGAAGAGCATTATGACGGTGGAATCTCGGAACAAACGGCACTCACGGTGAAAAACGCGACTCCTAGCGACATGGGTTCTTACAAATGCATCTTGGAAAACAGCGCCGGCTCAACCGTTTCCGAGGACACCGTACAGGTTTCGGTCTTTTGTACGTATAACAACAGTACAGATAGCAACAGTCAATCGTGGAATGTAACATAAAGCAGTCGATAAAATCTAAAATCACTTACAATCTCACACGGATTATAAAGCTTCGGTTAGTAATAAATCTAAATCCGAAAGAATCCCATTGTACTTTCGGCGAAACCTTATCTTCTTATTTCTCGCGGCGGTAGCTTTCAGCAGAGCGTAGTTTATCCTTTTATTAGAAAACGACAGCTTCATTGAAAGCTATGCGATTACATCGGGAAATAAAGTTTGGAGAGAGGAGTTCGCGGCGCGCGACGTACTTTCGAACTCGCACACGAGATTTATATACCGGCGCGGATGTATATATCCCGTTTTATCATGTAGATAAGCCGGTGGTGGAGGTGATAATGGATCCGGATATACCTGTGAACGAGGCGGATCGTCAAAACGTTTCGTTAACGTGCGAGGTCGACGCCGGCAATCCGGCGATACTGACAGCCGTCCGTTGGTATTTGGACGGAGATCTATTGAAAGAACTTCCGGACTGCTCGAGGAACAGCACTGCCATGACAACCAGCTCCGAGGAATCGTCGGCGTTCTGTGACATCGACCCCAGCAAGCTGCTGCTGGAATCTGTCGGCCGCACTTTCCACGGCAACTACTCCTGCGAGGGGAAAAACGAGGCTGGCTGGGGACCGGTCTCTCCGAGCACGCCTGTCATAGTTTATTGTAAGTCCTCTGTCACGTGTCACTCACTCGTGTTACGCGGTGATGGAAGAGAAACTGGTGACACCTATTACATTTCCAGCTATAATACGTTATGCCCATTATACGCGTGTTTCGAATTTCGTATACGTTTTTTGCAGCGACAAACAGAAATTATATGAATATTACCGTATATTCAATATTTTGATTTTACATAAATTATTAATTGACATTTATGAATAATATGATATTATAAGTAATACTCTCGGGCCTCGAATTTGTAACATATTATCAAATAACACGTTGTAAAAGCGATTATTTATACTCGGCACTAATTATTTATTGAAGCGGTAACGATAAATTATCGATTGCGAAACTTTATCTTGTACATGTATATGATATCTTATTACAGTAATTGGATTACATTTAGCACGTTTATACCAGTTTCTCTCTCGCACTCTCTGCATCTCCCTGAAAACATTTCCGCAGATAAGCCCGGCCCGGCGTCGATAACGTACGAACCGCGGCAAGTGGTGAAGAAACAAGCGTTATCCATCACTTGCTTCGTTTTGGATCCCGGCCGACCGAGGGTGTCGGGCTTCAAGTGGCTGCGCGGCTGGCACCGACTTCCAGACGAGAACGAAGCCAAGCTCTTCATCGAGTCAGTTAATTTGGAAACCGAGGCGAATTTCACGTGTCTGGCTTACAACAAAGCCGGTGACGGAGAGCCGGCCACAACGTTTATCGATGTATCTGGTGAGTGACATATGTCAATGCGTCTAAAACCGTATCCAGCAATTATTGAGTTTCATGGTGAGACATTTTAAAGCCCGACAAACAATAACATATTTACGGATTCAAATAATTTAGTTTACTTTGCTTATACACTAAAAATGTCTATTTTAGTCAAAATTAAATTTAGGAGTTCTGGAAGAAACTCTGGATAATTTTATACATTACACATAAGCTAGGTATTTCCTCATCTGTTATTTAAATTCTATTCAGACACTGCCTAATATAGCATATGTAAATGTCCATTCTCTCAATCTGACGTAAACATTAATGTTTTATAATAAACGGTGCTCTTCTATTCCTGTACGCTATGTAACAGATCGTTCGACGTTTCTCATAATTATTGAATGACAAATCCCATTAACTTTAACTGAGAGTTATCGTTTCTCATTAGCGGCCCCGACGTTCATTAAGACGCTACACTCGTATCGCGGCTACGTCTACAACTCGCCCAACGTGAGCATCATGTGTTGGGTCGAATGCGCCCCGATCTGCAATATTTCCTGGCTGAGGGATGACATTCCCATAGACTTCTCGAAAACGAATCGATACTACGTGTCGAACGTTTATCATCCGCCCGACCCAAGGACCAACGACTTCGAGAGCATCCAATCGACCCTCGTATGGAATCTGACGGTCTGGCCGAACGGTCAGCTCGACCGTACCGAGGACAACGTCAAATTCACCTGCAAGAGCAGCAGCAACGAGATCGGCGCGGGCGTGGAGAGTAGTACTCACTTTCACGTCGAGTGTACGTTTCATTCGAATCTTTCTTTTTTTGCGCGGCGATATCTCTACTTGCTTATATTCGATTTTATATAACGGTCCATTTGTTTAACGAGATTGCGAAAAGAACAAAGATCTCGTTCCACACGCCATAAAAGAATTTTCTAAACATAATGTTATACAAGTATAAAGGACGCTTAACTTAATGTACTTAATTTTTAATATATTTATTGCAAATATAAAATGCGAACGAGTTTCTGTAAAGTTATTTCAAGCACATAAGAAAAATTTTTGTAAATTAGGAGAAAAAAATATACAATTAAATAAAAGTTTATTTTTTCTATTTAAAATTATACCGCGCAGACTTTTTGTATTTTTTTGTATTTATATATATATATAGATAATTAAATTAAATTTTTTATTCAAGTCCCTCCAGAGGATATCACAATATCGAGGAAGATAATCAATGTGACAGTGGACACGATACCGGAGACTGTTGAGTGCAACGCGACGGCGCGACCGAAAGCAAACTTTCGATGGTTCCGCGAAGGATCCACTGATACCATTATGGAAGGCCACGTGTTTGACTTGAAAATGCCAGTACCACGGCGCAGTAACGGCACTTACTACTGCGAGGCGTCGAATCGCCATGGCTCCTTGAATATCTCCATGATCATGAATGTGCAATGTACGTTCCACTGCGTCTTTAGACTTTCAAACGAATAATCAAAAAAGTCTCGCACTTCTACATTCATGCAGTTTATAAAAAGAGACGTATAAAAGAATATTTAATCTTGCTTTCTTATCTGTCTAAACCTAGACTATTTTTTTTTAATGCAAAAGTTGAGATTTTTACGTTTTCCTTAAAATATCGTTATTAATCATACATCCTTCAAAAAATAATCTTAAATTTTTCACTTCTTCCAACATGTAACAATGATGCCATATTTTCTATGCAGTTAAACCGGAATGCCACATAGAGAAAGAACGATTCGAGGGCAAGGATTACGTCGTTTGTTCAGCCGTTGCCAATCCGAAAGAGACAGATTTCACTTGGTCATTGAAGAACGAAAACGACACGCTGGAGCAGGTCGCGGAAAAGCGAAACGGAAGAAGTTACATGCCCCTCGATATCTCAGTCACTAACTTCCGGACATACGTGTGCGTGGCGAACAACACAATCGGTCACTCCGTAGCGTGTGAACGCGACATACCAGGTTGGTACAACGAACTTTTTCATTGATTTGCTGATATCGCGCATACATCTGCAAAAATAGCAGCAGTACTTTTCGAGATGTTTTTGTTTGGATTATTATTAGAAACCATTGTCGGATTCCGAAATAATTTTTCTATATCGATAAAAATGTGAAAAAATATACGAAAAAAAAATAATCTCAATATAATACAAAAATTTTTTTGTAGCAATCGTGCACAGAAATTACAAAAAAACAAAATTACCTACTATATATTGTAAGAATGAATTTTATGCACATGTACATATTACAATCAAATCGAATCAAATCTTTATAATAACGTAGTGTAATATAAATTTTAAAATATCTACAATAAAATTAATATAATTAAACCGAATAAGTAACATTTACTTCGCCAGTCAATAATTAACCCGATTAAAAATTTAATCGACTGTACTGGCAATGATTATAATCGTGATCGACACCCGTCACGGAATGAGGAAGGTTCCAGATTCGAACCCTGGCTGAGGTAATATTTTACGCAATAAATTTAATTATTTAATTAAGATGCTTATATTATAACCATCTAAAATTACATCAATTTTAGAATAACCAGAATCCTTGGTCGAAACGCGGTGACGATTTGTCACGACGATTATAATCGTTGCCACGATTATAATCATTGCCAGTACAGTCGATTAAATTCTTAATTGGGTTAATATAATTAATATAATCTCATATAGATATCTCATATAAATTAAAACTACAACTATTTCGTAATATGAATATTTCTTTATTCATATTATATTCAATAACTATTTAATATTTTTGAGGATGAATTTGCAACACATTTACATAATTATTCTTTTAACTTGTAATAAGGTAATAATTTTTTATCTGTCAATCACAAATATTTAGAAGAATTTATCGCTTTACAGCCCACCATGGAACTAAAAGTAAGTTGTGCCTATGTCACTTCAAATTTTGTGTATAAATACATTATATTTTATATGTAATTTATACTATCTGTGCACGTGTATGTAATTATTATTTAGTATCCAATATATTGCGGCAATATACGATCTGTTTTTCTTATTTTTCTCAATTTTAACAAAAATTTAATTACAGTTTTAAGCGTAATAAAAATAATTTAATTACGGTTTTAAACGTAATAAAATATATCGCGATAAACAAGTACACTACGCAAATAAATAAAATTAAAATTAAAATGTTTTGTAAAATGTTGCATCTTATCATAACGCAAACAACAAATTCTTCTATAGACCAGCTATATGAATTTAAAATGCAATACATACCATCCTTTTCAAGTATCTTTTTAGTATCTTTTTATTTCAGTGCATAATTTTAGACATTTTTTTGGAGCTTTAGCGATACTTGATATATTTATCTACAGCAAAAGTTGTCAAACAAATAAATTAAATGAATTATTTTTCGTTGCTTATTGTATCGCTTTTGGTAGGTTTCGTATCTTGGTAGAAACAATGGAAATAACATTCATGCATCATTATCCTTGTACATATCATGTTTACATGTCATTATCGATTATTGTACATTACGACCTATCGCGTTACAGGTCATATACCTTGGTGGCATCAATTGGAGGGTAACCTGCTACTGATTATTATCGTAGTGACGGTGATCATGATACTAGTCCTAATACTAATCGGCGTGACCATTTACATCGTGTGCCGACGGAAACGCAGCGAAATGAAATGTAAGTTATCTCTAATATATTATGTCGTTATCTGCGATCGTTCGCTCATCGCAGCGATTTGCATGACATAGATCGTAAAATGAGATTTCTTTGAGCCCTTTTCACGACGAATTGATAATTTATATAGTTATTTCGACGAGCGCGAGAATAGTGCAATTTTTAAATTTTGTCACATTATGAGAATAACTTATTTTATTGCATTCTCGAGAAATTGATTATTTCAAATAAGATCCGAGTCTGTGTTATATTTGCATTCGAAATACATTTTTGATAAGACTTCGAAGAAATCCGATCCAACAGCCTATAACCGTTATAGTTACATTATGACAATCTAATAAGAGAGATATATATATCAGATGTTTTACATCTGTACATATATACCTATATCCAAAATAGCACATAACGCAGCACATAAGCACGAAACGTGGATATCAATATATCTTTATCTTAAAATATATTAGTCATCCTAAATCAATAATTACTACAATTAGACACAGAAAATAACATTTCAAACTATAATGATGTTTCTTCCGTACGCCTTGACGATATATCTTTTTATTCCCACCAGTAAAACGTATTGTAATATTATCTCTGTGTTCACATTCTTAGTATATTGTCTTTATTAATGTAAAAAGTATTTTCCCATTGTAGTTAACGCACCAATTATCTTTTTTGAGTTTTTAAAGTTATTAACTGATTATTTGTGTTTGCCTTATATTTTTGTAACAATTTAATTCGATTTGATAAAGCTTCTTTAATAATGGTAACAAATAATGGCTCGAATCACGTGTAATCGTAAGTATATATCAAAATATTTCAATCACATGATGCAAAACATAAAATTGACTTATTCATGTGATATTTACATATTCACAGAACGAGTATATTATTAAAAAAAAAACGTTTTTTTCTTGACAAAGTTCTGTTAACTCATTCCGCGCAAACAAATGTAGATCACACATTGTATACAATATTATATTACCTTATATAGTTTATGCTAAATAGAATAAAAGCATGCTCACTATTTGATATTTCTGTATAAAGTAGTTAAACAACGTAAAATTTCCATTTAGATGGAAATATATATGAACAATTAAGAAGAAACACATGCTACGCTGCTATAACGTTGATGTTAATTTGAGTTTAATAATTTTTTTTTGTTATCAATGTAATTTAAAACATAAATTATAACAATACTATTGCGATATGTTGATATTAATTCTCATTAAAATAATTCAAAATAAACATAAGACCGCAAATTAAATTAATTGATATATACATATATAAAATTTTTTTATATATTAAATCTAATTTTGTAGATAATAATAATTGACAAAGGAAATAAATAGAAACTATTTTAATATGAATTTAGTCTGTCTGGGAAATGAATCAAATTAAAGAACTTTTCCAAATCACAAGTTAAATTTATTTTAAATTAATACGTGATTACTGATGAATACTTATCGGTTTCCAAAGAGACCTTATATGATTTTACACGTATTATTTTAATAGAGAAGAGAATAATATATAACATCAATCACATCTAATTATAAGTACACTAACAATAAGCAACAATGATTCTCTGTTATAAATGAAACCGTACCATAATATCATCAAATCGCTTTTGGACTAGCAACACAAATTAGTCTGAACTCTTTAACAAGATTTTAGTCATTATTGATGATTTCAAATATGTATTACCGCGTGTAAGAATAAGCATTAATTAACGACGATCGATATACGTGCAAAGTTCTTATACACTTATCAAGCAATATATTCTTGTTCGCTATAAATATTACTTCACAAATTTAATTTATGACACATATTCAAAAACAGTAAAATTAACGTCAATTAGAGAGAATAACGGAACCTATTTTCAGTGCCTTTCTCAGTACAGTTACTACTTATAGTTAATCGTGCCATAATAATTGCAAAGAGTATATTCGCATCCGCAGTACTAATTAATTGCTGAAGTTTTTTTTAATCTCATTTCCAACTTTCTCGCGATTATTTTAATTAATTGCATGTAATTTTGACAATATAACTTTTGCAAACCAAACATTCAACGGCCATGTAGAATTCAACAGAATTAGTATGTACGGGATAATAATATATTATTATAATGTTATTATATTAATTGCTACGCTGTTTCTCAGTGCTTGGACATTTATTTATTTCAAATAATATTTGGCTAATATTTTTAACACATACGCTTTAATTATTTAAAACATTTCCATCACAATGTAGAATATATAATATTAAATTTGCTTTGAAAATTATGCATCTTTAGTAATTTTATAATATGTATATTTAAAAAAAATTATTTTACCTTACAAATTATTTTCTAAAAAGTATTCACATAAGCTTTGTCCATAATTAACCCTCACAAGTCACACTGGGTCGATTTTACCCGACGCCAACTCAACACATGCGTATATCTCCAAATAGGGGAGGGGGGGAAAGTTGGTTAGTAGCTGGAAAAATCGCTTTTTGGTAGTTGAAATAAAGGCCCACAAGTGTCGCTCCAGTGCTGGTTTGCCTGTTGAGCAGGAAGCGTCCGAAATCTCCTGTCGGGTAAAAAAGACCCAGTGTGACTTCAGTGTCTCAATTTCGTCATTATAATAAATCCAAAATACAGGTTTATTTGAAGTGAACACATTTTATTTGAAGTGAATTAAAGTGTTTTTGTATACGTGTAATGTTTTTTTTTTATAATTGGAGTATTTATAATGTAAATGTGATTGTTTTCCAGCAATATGGAGACACGTGCGCGCGTGAGACGCATAGCAAAAAATAAAAATAAAAAAATTCAATAAAAATTCAATAAAAATTTTGAATAAAAATTCAATTTTTAATAAAAATTCAATTCAATAAAAATTTTGAAAATAAATTTTTTCTTAATCACTTGTACACCCAATACTTTACACATACTTTTTTTCTCTTTAAATAATCATTATTTAATGATAAAAAAAGTTTAAATAATGATTTTTATAATTTTTTTTCAATTTTATTGACAAAAACAAACGTACATGCACGAAAAATACGTTTTAAAAAATACCGATTTTCAATCAAAAAAAAAATTGTTTAATTAAAAATTTTTTTAAAAATGGCTTATACAACCTTAAAGTACATGTCTTCAGCTTTAAAATGACCACCTATAAAGTTTATTTTTTTTAATTTTTAAAGGAGAAACAACAGTTTGAAAAAAAATCAGTTTAAAAAAAAAATGTCTTCATATTTTTCAAAATACAAAAAAAAGGATAAAATTTAGAGCAAAACAAACTAAACAGTCGTATTTCTGAGAATCTGGCGATGAATTTAAAAAAAAAACACGTCCCAAAAGCTTGCTTAGACTTGAAGTTACAAGCGTTTCAAAATCGCTCGGGTAAAAAAGACCCAGTGTGACCCCAATGCGCTGTGGCGTAAGTGTGACTTGTGAGGGTTAATAACAGTTGTAACGTTATGGCAGCCAAGCATGCGTTTGTTCAGTAGTTTTCACTAACACGAAACTGATTCGTTTCTGCTCTACTTTTTAATTTGGACTTGCTAAACAAAACACAGACAGTACTCGGGTGGTCCATCTGGAGGAACGCGAACAGTAAGTACAAACCGCAGCACACTGCGTTTTCTATTTAAGTTGTTTTAGTTAAAAAATCGGTCTTAATTTACCGGCATTGGGCTTTATTAAATCTGCACGCATATAAACGCTATATAATGAAAAAAGTTACTAATTTGCCAAGGATTGAATGCGTTTTTCGATTTACGAAACACATAGCTCTCTGTAATTGGGTAGAATGCATGTTATATTATTATGTTGTAAGTAGTTCTATAGAGATACATTGTTTGGAAATTACTGTTATTTGTGGGCATTCTTCAATAGAAATAGTTACATTCCATCGAATGACTATACAAAAAGCTTCCCAAAAATTTTAGGAAATAAGTTTCCTCAATCAATACACTACAGAAAAGTTAATGACTCATAGTTTTTAATTGCATTACACAGCAGAAATAATTAGAAAAAGCAGAATGGAGAAGCAATTCTACACGGAGAGAATTTTCTCTTAAAATTTACCCTGAAATCATGGTAGTTGTGGGATAACATGTACCACCAAGAATTTTATACGAGCTATTCTGATTAATATTCACCATAATAAAAAATATTATAATAATATCTATTACATTAAAATATAAAATATGTTTGATTAATTTTACTAAAATATATCTAGGAAATTTCAATAATTTTTCAAAATTTACCAATCTGCTTGGTAATTTTTACCACGTTGTTTGTAAAAAATCTTTGTATTGTATATTTTAAAAATTCCTTGGTTACCAAGTTGTCCCAAGTTTGTAGTGAATTTAAGGGTAAAATATAACAAAAAATTCTCTCCGTGTATACATCTAGAAATGAAAATTGTATCTTGCGTGTATATCACGAAATAAAATCATTACAGTTATTTCCATACAAAGTTTTATATGCAAATATATAATAATTTATAAGAATAACACTTTTGGATAATATTTAATTTTGCAAATAGATAGTAATTAATAAAATAAGTATATTAAAAGTTTTATTTAAAAAATTAAATATTTTTGTTTTCTTAATTAATTGAATATTAAATTTTATCATTAACAACATGGCTTTTTACCAAAGTGTTTGCAGGAATTTATTAATGGATCGGCACGATGCAAACACAAATACATTATACAAACATTACACGCGTTATAATAGAGTTTGTGCACTCGTTGGAATGTAATCACCATCGAATTATATGTATTCGCTTTATCATTTTATTTGTTAGGTTCATTGTGATATCGTCCCTTTGTATCATACACCAACTTTTCGCCATTAACTATTTCGCGTTAAACAGCTGGGGTGATCAGTGAATGCGTAAAGAGTAAAGCTATAGAATAACTGGTTCCATTAACGCTCCATGTACACGATAGCATGCAAGTTTGTCTTCGATCTGAAATCTCGCTCGAAGTGATCCTCTCTCTCTGCACACCTGAATACATATCCTATTGCATAATTTAACGGCTACTTCCGGCTTACAATAGTGTACTGTCAACTTGGTACGAGCAAGGTAGGTAGTTAGTTGTTCACGAGAACGAACGGGATGTTCTACACGACGCTCTTTCACGTGACGCAGTTACCGTGTGCGGGGATGTAACTTCTTGCATAATTCAGCGAAGAGAGCTTGTAATTGTTAATACGGCTTGTAATGACCATGCAACCATTGCTGGGGGTATCGCCGAAGTTACAAGGTAGGTGGAGGGTTGCACGGATTATATAGGGTAAGCGTTTCCAGGGAATCTGTCGATCTTGAATGCCATTAGCTCGGCGTTTTAGCAATTTTGAAATTAAATTAGATCGCGTTAGCAAAACGAAAGAGATTGCGATAAAATTGCAATTTATAACTCGCTTTATGTACAAAAAGTGTAATTAAAGCTCGATCGTGTAAGAAATTTCCTTCGCGACTATTTATGAAGATTAACATTATCTTATTTTTCTACCTATCTATAGCCTATTATTCCAAGAGTATAACCTTTTATTGTTTGAAAATTGCGCTGCAACCTTCTTGCAACGTAACGTTACGAGTTATACGTTGCTTACAAAGAAGCGCTTGGAAAATATTTTTAAACGCCGTCGCTCAAGGCCTCTTTACTACGATATTTTTAGAAAGAATGCATCCGCATTTTTGCCATATCTCTCCCTCTCTTTCTCTCTCTGTCTCGCTAGGTCTCTCATCGCATGCGCAACATTTTTGATACACAATAACGATATGGCGCCTTATCATCCAAGTTTACGAGCTGCTGCGCGCCGAGTTTACATTTAATTTAGTCCTTTCTCTTGTCGATGTTAGTTCCACTCCGAGATATTGTTGTGTTTCTACGGAAGTTTACAAGGGGTCCATTTGTAACGAATGCACAACGGGCCGATCGTCCTGTGCGCTCAATAAACATGCGGTACCTTCCGGTCTCACGCCTTCCAGACGAGGTCAGCTTGATTTAAAAAAAATAACGTTTCAGCGTAGAATTGTTCGAATAAAGCAAAACATACGTGTTTATTCTACCGTCGCGACCAACCACGACGCGGACGCGTCGGTGATGTTTTATTGTTGAAGTACTGACGGAGAAACGTCGCGTGACTCACAATGACAAAAGGGACTGCACTGTACAAATTGTTTCCCCGGGTCTAAACGGGACGTAGAACGATGCACTCATTCCTGCATGGCATTTAAAGACGTAGGAGAGAAATCTGATGTTCGCAGTAAATAGAAATTGCACGAGCACAAGGTAGTACGCCATGCAGGATAGATATATCTTCTTTGATAACAAGTATTATGAAATATAATGAAAAACAATTATCCGATATTAAATTTTGAAAAAAAACACGTAATAAAAATTGTTGGAAAATAATTAAAATGTTGTTGAAAAAATTATCGTAAATAACAGAATAGACTTGGATGATAAGATATACTTCTTGAAGATAAAAGATTTCATCGCAATTTTTTTTCTTAAATCATTGCTAGATTTTTATTGGAAAATATATATGAAGATAAAAGATTTCTTCGCTTTTTTCTTAAATTATTGCTACATTTTTATTGGAAAATATATATGAAGATAAAAGATTTCTCTGCAATTTTTTTCCTTAAATCGTTGCTAGATTTTTATTGGAAAATACATGTGAAGATAAAAGATTTCTCAATTTTTTTTCTTAAATTATTGCTACAATATCTATAAACTGATTGTATCTTGATATCTTGGTTCGGTCTGCATATGCCAAATTATGCGGTTGCGTAAACAGAGGAAACATTAAACCGCTGCACGCGTACTCTATTTCGTATAACGAGCGGGCGATAATTGTTCCATTTTCTGAATTAGCTCGATTTCACGGTTTAACATGTGTACCCATTGGTGTATCGGCCGCGATCTCTGGAAATGCGCAATTTCGCAATCACATCGTAACTTCTTCCCTGTGCCACTCATTTGTCACAGCTCTGTGATAAATCGAACAAGAAATATGCTCACGTATGACATCGCGATAAGTCCCTTTTGATGGATTGCCGCCGCACTCATATCAGTGCATTTGATACACGTGCACCGAATCTCGAAAGGTATGTCGCCGCCGCATGCTCCGTTCGCATTCGACAAATTATTTTATTTCAGATAAGCTTAAAAGGCCCCCCTCCCCTAAGCCAAAGTCCGATTTAGCGGATACGAGTCATTAAATTAGTTCCAATACAAACACCGTGCACGCCCAGCACGCCGTTCACATCGATAATTGCCGTCCACCGAGAGAAGTTCGATCTAACGAGCGATGTAACGCAGCGCAGCGACAAGCTTTAAACGGAGCGTGCAATAAAACTGTAAAGTGCTGGAAAAGCTTCAAAATGGGCGAGCGAAAAAGCAATGGCGCGGGCGTAACCAAAGATTCCGAAACGAAAAGGGGGGAATAAAATAAAAATAGGTAAAAGTAAAGAAGATAAAAAAAAAGGACGTAGAAGAGAAAAAGCGAAAAAGGAAAAATGAAAGAGAAAAAGGAAAAAAAGAAAAAAAAGAAAAAATAGTAGATAAAATGACAGGAAAAATAAGGAACGGAAGAACTAAAAAGAGACTGAGAGAAGGACGGCGACAGAGATCGACGTTGTTTGAAATGATGGGTGAGGTGAACTTCTTCTTTAAGTTCATCTACGGGAAGGTTTCGTAAACCTTGGCTACGTCACTGGCGGAAAATATACCGAATGGGAAACGTCGTACGACGAATCGTGCCAGAGCAATCGTAGTTTTCCGCGATGCAATCTTTTATACCTTACGCCCGCTTGACGGCGATACTCAACGACGCTTTCCCGACTCTCGTATTCTCGACGACATTTTTCTGCCATTCCCTTGAGGACTTTGTTCCGCGCAGCTCCGAAATTTCGCGCCGAAGTTCACGTATATACAATTCCAATCCGGACACGATTTTAAAACCAGTTTTATTTCTTTATCGATTTTACAATATATCGTATAACGATTATGAAAGCCAATTATAGTTCTTCGGAACAATATTCATGCTTTGTAAAGCTGCAATAATTTTCAATATCGCCTCTGCAGCTCTCCGAGTTTAATGCTAGTCAACTTTTTAACGGCACTCGTGAAATTTACCGCGGAGATTTGCTGCAAAGGTCATCCTAACTTATTCGAGAGAATTTATAATCGGATTAAATCGCGTATTGTTATATCGCGCTTCTTACAGTTCTACAATTAATATAATTAGCTTACTTAGTTACATTAATTATATTCCGGGCTCGTTACGCACGCAATGTCTGAAGCGCGTACAATGAAACAGATGATACAATCCATTTAACCTCATATCTTTTATTTTCCAGATTTACGGAAATAAACTTTCGCTTGATCATCGTTGCGTATTTTAACGGGGATGAATTTATTCACGGGATTCAATATATCGATCAAACTTCCGCTTTATCAGAATTTCCTTATCCGCGAGTGAAAAAGAAAGACAAACGTTCTTGTAGAACTACAACGGGGATTTCTCTAGCACCGAGATTTATTTCCGTCTTTAAGGTCCTCTGATCCCGCCGGAGACACGACATGCCACGCAATGTTCCCCATTTAGATAATGTAATTCGGGATGTATGATAGCTGAACGCAGCATTGTTTCTTAAAAATAAAACATCACCGAGACGCTTAGAGAAAATTTTATTTCGCGGACGGATTAGTTTGACACAAAAAATATACTCTCATTTATCAAAACTTTATAGTATTTTTTTAGAATATGGAACGGTATACTTGTTCAAAAATTGTTAAAAAAGCATTATTCATTATCTTGCCAAATGCAATACGCTTGACCGCTCTCGGCAAATGATTTATCTTTCAATCCGCTTTCTCGCTTATTTGATCTTTCATCTCTCTCACTCTCTCGCACGGCAGTTTAACTTCACTCGACAACTCTCGGGTCAAGTGGGATAATTGAGATCCTTGCATAAATGGGACAATGCAATGATTTTCTAATGATAAATTTAGTAGATGTCATTTCTCAAAGAGTTTTTAATGGCTATTAAACGAAAACTTAGCATCTCTAACCGATAAAAAATTTAGAATGAAAAATAATTATGAATTTAACTTTCCTTTAAAAAGATATACAAATTTTTAGCACATCCTGCCTGCATAATCTACGTTCGTATCAATGGAATATATGAAAAGGTTTTGTGCGACCAATTTGACGCGTCGCATCTACTTTAAAACCTTCTCGGGTCAACGCTATAATGGACATCTCATTTATCATTATAAGGTCGACTATAATGGATGCCCCTGGATCTTTCCTCTAATTTTATCACTGAGAACTCACCGGCGTCGTCCCATTTATATACCCGCTCAATTATCCCGTGTGACCTCAATCGTTATACAGCCCAGACGGTGGACCGCCCAGTCCGACGGTATCCTCGCACTCGGTGCAAAGCCCGGCGCAGCCGACGCCGGCGCCCGCGCCGCGATGGCCCTTGAAGCCGGGCGTGCTGGTGCACATCAATCGAACTCACAGCCTGCGATCCGGCCTGAGCGTTCGCGCGAACGAGGCTAATCTACGTAACGAGCTAGTGGGCAAACATAACGACGAGCCGCTCAGGCAGAGCTTCCTCGACGAGACGTCGTTGTCGTCGTCGATCGGTCGTAATCCGGCGCGGGCGGTATTCCGCCGCGGCAGGAAAGATCAAACCGCCCAGAGGACAGCCAGCATGACCAGTCTGAACGAGGACGGTATGCTCGCCCGGGCTAACAAGATAAAAGCTATGTTTGGCGTACAGCTCAAAGAGCAGGCCACCCTGCCCGGTATATCCAGAGAAAAGACAGGTAAGAGCAGTAGGAAAGGAGTCGAGGCTATTTGCCCGCGACTTTGCGACGTGTCATCCAACGTTAACTCGTTTGTATTTGCAACTACTTGCTTGCTTGCCTGGAAGCACAGTCGACACAAACAAGATTTTCGAATTGGTCTATTTTGGTACCTTGTCTTAAAGCTATCTAAATGTGATTTTTAATCGTACAAAAAATTATATGATACACGCTTATGACAATGTAAGCTAGATATATGGTCTCGTACCAACGGATGCAAATATTTGTGAATACAAATGGGTGGGACAAACGGCTTTTCCACATCCAAAGTCAACGAAATGTACCTCTGACCTGTTTCACGTTCACGATGTTAGTATTATTCCAACTTTTCAGTAAGCTAATAACGATCGTTTCATTGAAAATAACATAAAAACCTAAAAATATTATTGACTATATTAACATTTTTGCGTGATTGGAAAGTACGTGAGCATATATTTTTGTATTAAATTCATTATTATCTGTATTAAATTAATTTTTCTATATAATGACGCTGTTAAGATCTGATGGCTGTGTTATCAACTACAATAACAAGTATCTATAATAGAATATTTTATCGATGTCTTTGTTATACAAAATATGAATAATATTTATTCAGTTATAACTCGCCAATACTTCAGACTATTGATTTTACCGTGCATTAGTTGAACCTCATTCCACGTTATTTTCTACAATTTTTTTTTTATGTTTAGCTGTGTCTCTCGTCATTACCCGTAACCCGTAACTTTCTTTCTCGACTTTTTACATGCTTTTATGTTAACATTAACATTTCAGTTAATGAAAACATCGTCGTGTTACATGGAAAGTACGTGGTGCGTGTTTTCTGCATACGTCGCAGACGACTTTGAAGCCTCATTAACCCTTCGCCCGTAAACTATAATTTGACTGGCATCGTCCGTAATCTGGGTCATAAATGTCCTGTCGTTATTTTGACCTAGTAAATAGTGTTCAAAAAATCTGAAAAAATTCTGTAATACTTGTATACTATCCTATTTTATAATCCCAAAGTTTATTTAGCGATTCATTATAAGATAAATTGTTTATAAATAATTCTTTATGCAAAAAATTGATAAAAATCCATTTTTATTAAAAAAATCATATCTCATTGAGTTTTAAATCAAAATAAAAAATTCCAACGAGGTTTTATAGTTAAATATGTGTACTTTCAAGAAAAAAATTCTGTATATGGGTCATTTTTAAAAAGTATAATTATTCTGAGGATTGAAAATGGCCTTTTTCGGGTTAAGGAGAAATAAGACTTTTAACGTAATTTTTACATTATTTTATTAAAAAATCATATAAAATCGTCTTTCTCGTAAATAATATCTGATATTTGTCGCTTGATCATCCATTGTACCCTGAAAGTACATGTAATTTCTTTTTACACGTGTTTTCATCCACTCAAATTTTGAGGTTATAGGTATATATAATATACACAATCATAAAAAAATATCACTTATATAAGTTAAAAATAACTGTAGTAATATGAAAATGCCGTTAAATTAATTTTACTTACTTGCACGAAAGTCTGGCACTGTCCGTAAACTGGGTCAATAGTGGCACTGGACGCACTTTGACTCGCTGCTGGTCAAGCACACACTGGCGAATTCCAACGAAACTTTGGGCATGAGTTCTCCCCACTACCTACTTTTTTTACGAGGGACGGCAAGCCTTCCCCCCCTTTTCATTTCGGCGGTATTCTATCTTGAATTTCGGCTTGTGCCATTTATGACCCAGTTTACGGGCGAAGGGTTAAGCACACAGCTGCGTATATGTGGCATGTAATTAACCTTCTAACTTTTCCACGCTGGTACCGGCAGGAACTTCATGTTCCAAGGGATGTTCAACCTTACAATTAGTACATCTCGAACGATGCTCATTCAAAAGCTTTGCTGTTATTAGCTAGTCTATAAATTAAAATTTAAAATGTTCAAAAACAAAATTTTAATACACAGTGCATACTAAGATTAAATCTATTATGTTAACAAGTTAGGTGTTTTAGTCAAAAAATACACATTAAATATCATGTCATTCTAAATTTAATACAAAAATATATGCTCACGTACTTTCCATTAACGCAAAAATGTTAATATAGTCAATGAGATTTTCAAGTTTTTATATTATTCTCTAATATGAAGTACCTTTTAGCACGGATTTTATTAAAATAATTTATCATTTTTGTATGCTCTAAAAAAGGCTGTTAAATAACTTTCTCATGTCTCTTTATTTCTTTGTTAAATGTACAATCAGATTTTTTTTATTTATTTGTATTTAATGTGCAATATAATTTTTTAAAAAGAGAGAGAAATCATAAATAGAAGTCATAAAAACAAATGTTTCTATATTTCCTAGACACAGACGCACGCGCACAGTTTAAAATTTTTACATATAAAGTTGTTCCATTTTAAATTACAAGAGAAATATGAAACACATTAATTTTAAGAACATCATATAATCTAAGTCCCGTTTTAGCCTTTTCATGTGATTGCTTTTTGACAACCTTAAAATTTGATATAAATATTCCATTTATTCTTTATGTGTTCTTTAATATACGCGGTAATTTATGTTTGCTTAAGCTGTCGCATGAGAGGAAGGCTTTATGTGTTTGATATCGCTTGTTGTTGATATGTTCCTTAGCTGTGACTTACAAGAGAATTGTGCCGCGGCAGCGGATATTGCACGGCGTGGAACCATCCTACGAGCCAAATCGTGGCAACGTGTCTCGTAAGCGAAAGAAACCCGGAGCAGGTATGCATAAAAATAATATTTATACACAACGTGCATGCTTGCAACTTGATTTGTTCGCCTAATACTTTGACTTAAAATCCTTCCCAACCTTTTTCCTTTTTTGGCAAGATTTCTTTTTTTTTAATTATGTGGTACTTTATGGCTGTACACGTAAAAATACACATACATCACCGGACAGAAAAAAGGATATACGGAAAGCAGAGATAACACACAAACGTACGCGCGAATGCCGCAGTTAGTGTACTGTACGCAATAGAAGGATATTTAGCTATAGGTGATAACACACGCCGCACGCAAGAATTCATAGTTCCGCATAAAGTACACACGACAATCGGCCACATAAATTTCACTTATCACACAACAACTATTAATCACAGATGTTATCGATTTTCTGATTTATACCGTAGCCTATAATTCCGCGCGTTTCTTCTGCGGTAACGTTTATCGCGATATTGTCCTCGATCTTTTTCACATGATCAAAACTACATAAATTCTCTTATCATGTGCAACGTCAAAATCCTTTGTACAAGAGGATTTTGTTGATGAGTAGATACGTGATAATTATTTATCAACTACACACGCTACACGATATTATCATTCTGCTGCGTGTCGATATGTTTCCAGTGAACATCGTGATTATAGTATTAAGAAAAAATAGAAATATGGATTAAAAATTTAAGAGTAAATTATAGAAAGTGCATTAATTACAATTGATTGCTCAGAATTTGTTAATCTCGTGTCTACATTGTGGAATCCAATCCGGAATTCCATTCCGTTTGGGGCTTTACGATTATCTCGTTACACTGTTCTATTTTTTATACTTTTTTTTTACTAGTAGAATCTCATCGTTTTATTGGATTAAGTCGGAATGTGTTAGTGGAACACAGGTTCTATGGATCGTCGGGTTTACCGTCGTCGTCGACAATCCACCTTGCGACAATTTATGCAACGTTACTGACGTTTCTTCTTTTTTTTGCAATTGCAGATCCCAATCAAGCCGCGAATAACAATCATGTGAACAGCGTGTCGGAAGTTCTTCCCGACTCCGGAACAAAGACGTTCTACGAAAATTTACCTTTCCACGGGATCCAAGCGCCACCTAACAAGGTTAGTATAATTTTATTATTTTATTTAAAAAAAAAAACAGACAGCACTTTATCAAACCGCATGAGCTATATACTCGATTTGCAACTCCCATATTATCGTGATTATTGAAAAAATAACGATGGCAAACGTGTCAGTCGCAAAAAGTCGATCTGCAATATTGTCATATATATTAAAATTAGATATCAACATTCTTTGAATTAAAACGCAAGAAAAGAGAAACATTTTAATTCAAGAACACCGTCTTCGATATTTAATTGATCTTTTGTCTGACTCTCGTCTTGAATTGTGCTGGAGGAACGGCACGATTCGAGAGAATCGCGCATTGAGCGAGCTCGATCTCGAGCGAGAGGACTGATACCCTCTCGATGCATTTCCACCAGTTAGCCAACCAAGTTTCGTGAACAGTTCGTCGATTAACGGTATCCCTTTCTGACCAAATACATTCGAGAGGCGATAGCAAGTGAAATGCGGTGGAAGGCCAAGAGGGTAGATATTAGCGCGACCCTTCAACCGTGCAACCCCTTCGCCTACCGAAGACCCTCTCGGCACTTAGGAGTGCCTTACTGCTCCGACATACGGTACCTCCGTATTGCTCGTGCTTCACTTTGTAAGAGTTACCGAACTCAGCTACCGAAACCCCGTTCAATCCTTATAATGGCTATAATATTACTTCTCAGTATTATAACTTTCCGAATCATCCTTTCGCAATTAAGAGACCGTATAGCTAGTCCTCGAGGTCATAATATTCCGCTCGCCTTATCGAATTACCGCGCGAATGCGTCCGTCATCTCCCTCCCTTTTCACGAGTCCGCCCACTTCGTTGCCGTCTGTTATCGCGGTTAATTGATTCGTCGAGCAGACGTTTAAATAATTAATTTCACCATTTCACAACTGACTTCCTTTCCTGTTTGCGTTTGAATAATTCGAGTTGGAAATCTTTTACGTACCAGAAGAGCCGTGAAATTTCCCGAGATAATGGACTTTACGACAAGTCATATGCACACGAAGCGATTATACAAAGAGATATCTCAATAGCTAGAACTTATTGTTACACGTGAAATTCCTGCATACGTATAGAAAAATATTTTATGTAAAACAACGAGAGAGAGAAAGAGAGCACTTTATTCTTTGTACTGGTATACTCTTAGCATTATGTGAGCTATTATTATCTAACGTAAGCCTCTTCTGCCTTACAAACGTATCGGATTTCATTGTGAGGATTACAATGCAAATTTTAACCGTCTCAAGCAACCTCAGTGCATCGCGTTCCTATTGAGCGCAAAATGTGTATCTTAAATCGTCAAGTCTTCTACAAAGGATATTCTACTTCTCGTAGCATCAACTCGGCTCAACGAGGATTATGAATTCTTTGTACCCGGATTCACCATGATGACAATGCCAAATCGACATCATATCCCGACGATGAGAGAACGCAATTCTCTACAATATATAACTATGTATTTTATGTGTTTATATATTTGAAAGGATTTCAATTTCTCTAACCGCATATTTATGCATTTCGAATTACATCGTAATATTCATATTGAGATAAATTGATGAGGAGTAATTAATGGTGGCGACTGACAATTTACCGTCATTATCTTGCAGTAATAAATATACAATCGTTGCTCGTCAATCTAGTTGCAAATTTGAGGTTCGTAATCGCACCGCTTTTAGCAATAATCGTACAAAACCGATGTTGCTGAAATGCATGTGTTGAGTGAAACATTGATTCATTCGGTATATCATCAAAGCGTTTTATTCGTGTGAAACCTTATAATGACATTCTGCACGCAGGAAAATAACTGAGGATCAAAACCAAAATGTTTTCATTAAAATTAATACACACGCTTCTCTGAAATGTGTTTTATATCGACGCATTGATCAGTTTGATTTTTTTTCTTTAGCCTTTAAATACTTTTTATTAATTACTGAAATATTTTCGCACTTCGCACTGGCTGCCTTTACTTTACTGCTTGTTACGTAATTTCGTGCAATATATCCGTAAAATTGTGCAATAATCATTCTATCGATTGTCTTACAGATAATTGCAAAACGATAATTTAACAGTTTGATAAAATCGCGGGGATAATTTGCCAATGAGAAGTAAACGAAATTGTATTAATTCTTAGCAAGTAAGTGGCTATGCTATTAATTCTTTTGCGTTGCCTCGATACATTTTTTTGCGAATTCCCGGATACTTTTACTAGCTATTAGGAAGTCTCATAGCCCAATCGATATACCGGAAAAAAGAGCACCGTTGTGGACAGGTAATTCAGTGCTGTGCGAGTGTAACAAGTATTGCTACTTTGACAGAAATAAATTCACTCTGTACGCTTTTTTTCTTTTTATCTTTATTCGTGCTAACACTAACGTTTTCTAGGAAAAGCAATTGTTGCAATGAGTTTCCAATAAATTGTGTTTTACCATAAAACTACACGAATAACTGCGTGATTTTATTTTCATTGAAACCGACGGTTTTGTGTCGATTAACGTTCGAATTGGCTGTCAGCATTTAATGAAAAATAACATTGACGCCACTTGGATTCCTCGTTCGAGAATGTAATCGTAATGAGATCGCAGCGTTTTGTCGCATATTCGATATTCGCTGTGAAAAGTAGCAATAGATTATATTATTTCAGTCTAATAAAGTGGAGTTAAAAAAGAGCGTTAAGAGTGCAACACGGTTGTTGGTGCGTAAGTTGTCAGGTTAATAGTATTTTATTTAAAAATTTAACAATCCATGGAGTGATACGAACGTTTCGGCTCCGCTTTGGGCCATCTTCAGCATTGTAAAAAGAATTAATATAAACTTATAGTTATTTTCTATGCTCTCCGTTAAACCATAGATTAGTACTTCAAGATTGGAAAGTAAAAAGTCATATAGTGTATTATCATTTACCATTTTAATATTTTTACCGTTATTATTTATTTATTTTACTGTTTTGATCTATCATAATGATGACTTTTTTTACTCTACTATTTATTATTCAACCTCCTTCAGTTGCTGTTCGTTAGCCATTTCCATAGTTTGTATCTTATATTTTTTTACCGTCTTCGAGACAGTAATATTTTTATAATTTATAAACTGCTTTTTTTTATCACGCGTGTGACCAAATGATACATATCTTCTACCACGTCTTTAATTTCACACTCACGTTCTGTGGTTAACTAACTTTGGTTTCTTTAAATTTAATTTCTAGCCATTGATTGAGTTTGATCATATTACAGAAATTTGATCATTTAATCTAATTACACGCTAACTTTCCAACATGAAATTATATGGCTTTTTGACTTTTCAATCTTGAAGCACTCATCTGTGGCTTAAAGAGAGTATGAGAAATACTTAACCCTATAAATTTATATTAATTTTCTTTTGAGACATCGCTGAAGGTGGCTCAAAACGGAGCCAAAACGTCCATATCACTAAGCATTGTTAATCTTGAATAAAATACTATTAATCTGTTAATTTATGCACCAACAACTGGATACTCTCAATGCCCTTTTTAACTTTATTGGTTTATTGAGAGTTCTAAATTAGTTTTTTTTTTTCATTTATTTCAATCTTTTTCATTATTAAACAATAAAATTAATTTAATATCGCTAAAATCGGCTATTCGTATAGATTGTTGTAAGAGTACTGAATTTATCTAAACCTATTAAAAATTCGGCTAAGATTGTGAATAAATAATTTCGTATTGAAAATTGTATTGAATTCAGTAAAAATATAATTGTAGTTTAATGTCCTCGAATCAACGAATTACATGAGATGAGCTAGAAATAAAATATCATAGATCCTGTAATTTCTGAGGCAGTAAATAATAGATGCTAGATATCTGCTGATACAGTTACGTGCATATTACAATTTTTAGCTCTCACAATCGTCTTTTGCGTAAATCTAGAATTGAACTGTGAATTCTGCCTTCTAACAGACCATTCTGTAACCTTCAATTATACCGGGCTAACTTTGTTTGACGGAAAATATCTCCTATTCGATATCACAAACATTCATAAACGCAAAGCTCATTTTGGCAAGCGCGCCGAGCGAAATTAGCCGAATCGGTTTACCTAATTCGCTAGTATTCACAATCCGCGCGCAATTCGAATCAATCAACGTATAATTCAATGAGAGGCAATAAGCACTGTTGCTGGCATGGACCACTCGATAATCAAGGCCCGATGCCCGGTGGATGATTGTCCTAAACGTATCGACAATAGGGCACGCCATTTTCCAAGTGTTGCCACGTTATATTTCAGTTAACTGTGATTACTTTAAACAGTATTACTGGAAAAAATTTCAACCATTTGTTAATTTTTATTGACATGACACAATTTCGATTTGGAGTTGCAGAAATTGTTATCAGGTAAAATTAGAAAAAATATGAATTTTACACTTTCTCTGTTCAGTCGTAAACTCATAACTTAATAAATCGTATAATCCAATAACTTTTCTTAGCATTACCAGAAATGGGAGAAAATTATGTTAGGAATAATCGATACACAATAATAATCTTATTCTAAAAAGTCCTCCAATAGTTCAGGACTCAAATGTCTATCAATCGCTATCTGTCGTCGCGGAACGTAATATTGTTACAATCGCGAACCTCGTCGAAATGTCGTTATCAAGTGCATAACGTTAGAATAACTTCCTCTTAATCACTACAAGGAAGCGACGTAACTGTATCAGTGGTACTCGTGCAAAATGCCAATAGCGACTCAGAAATTGACATAAATTGGCTCCTTATGTCCTACGGCAAGGAAACGCCGTATATTCCAGGCAATCTACTACTATGAAGCCGACTTCACCGTCGCTAATTAAATCATCGCGATCGCCAAAACGTCATTACCCGCGGGGATAAGGGGCCGTCGGTGCCGACGATGTGCGATAATCGAACGTTAATCAACACTAGAGCCAAAGCAAAACAAATTGAACCGAAGGCCAAAGGATTATGTGTGTATATATGCGAGTGGTGGCCGCTGGCTGCGTTTTGTTTTAGTTG